GGGAGGATGCTAAGGATAGTTAAGATTTTGTTTGAGACCCAGCTTGTGTGTCTTAGTCTGGCTATGTAGCTGCAGATAACCTTGAGCTTCTGACCCCCCTGCCTCTACCCACGTGGTGACATTACAGGGGTGTTCTGCCACCACATCCAGGTTATGAGATGCTGGGGACCAACTGAGGGTTTCATGCATGTTAGGCACGCATTCTCCCAACTTAGCTACATCCCTTCCGGTCTTAAGTCATTTTGAAAAGTAAGATGGTTTATCCAGTGTGGTCCTTCTGAGGGCTTAAGTAATCTGTGTAGTGTTTTTTTGTTTTTGTTTTGAGACAGAGTTTCCCTGCGTTGCTTTGGCTGGTCTGGAACTTTCCAAGTAAAACACCAGGCTGATCTCAGATTCAGAGATATTCTTGCCTCTGCCTTACCAGTGCTATGACTTAAGGTTTGTGCCACCATGCTGATGGTCTGTGTAGATCTCTTTTATCTCTTAATCTTCCTTTTTATGTATTTATGTATTTGTGTGTGTGTGTGTGTGTGTGTGTGTGTGTGTGTGCGAGAGAGAGTGTATGTAGATCAGAGAATGACTACTGACTGGGTGGGAGCAGGTTCCCTCCTTTCATCATGTGGTTTCTGGATGTTGAACTCGTCTGTCAGGCTCATCTGTCCTGTGTAGATCTTCATATCACCATCATATGGCTACCAGTTGACCATTTATACACTTTGTACATTTATACATATTGACTCAGTTGTATAGAGTTTTGTTTTATTTTGGGCTGAAGAGGTGGCTTGGTGGCTTAGAGCACTCGTTGCTCTTGCGGAAGTCCTGAATTTGACTCCAAGCACCTATGTGATGTCTCAGAACCATCCATGATGCCAGTTCCAGGGACTCAGAAGAGGTTGCTCTTCTACCTCTGCGGGCACCGGGCACATGTGTGGTACACATGCACACAGGCAGGCAAAACATTTGTACACATAAAATAAAAAAATCCAAAATAAACAGAATTTTATATTAAGTATTTATTTGGGGGAAAGACTCTGTTGCTCTGGCTGGCTTGAACCTTGTGGCAATCTTCCTGCCTAGTGCTAGGACTCAAAGTGTACACTACCATGTCCAGATAACTCTTTGGGACTGTATCTATATATAGTTTCCCATTTCACAGATGAGCAAGCTGAGGCTGAAAGAAGAAAGGGGTCTCCTGGCTGGATGAGCATCAGGGTGGTGTAGAGAACCAAGTGGATGCAGGAGCAGGCAGTAGGTGTCGTGGGCTCCTGGAGAATCAGCCCACACTCTGGCTCTGCTGGCATCAGAGGTCTTAGCTTTTTCTTTCTGAGGAAGCTGGGGCACAGATCAGGCCACTGGGCAGGAGCTCTTGCAATCATGTCCTCTTCCTACCTTCCTTTTAGTCATTCACTTGACACTTGTTCTTGGAGAACCTGAGCTGGCCAGGCACTGAGTAAGGTGTTAAACAAACAAACAAACAAAAACCCATAAACAATCCCCCCCCAAAAATGAGCCAGACAGGCCAAGCCCCTTCTCTGAGAAGGCCAAGCTGACTGGAACATCAGGGTGTCCTGTGACTGCTTTGTGTGGTTTCTCTCTTCCCTGCCCCAGGTGTTGATTGTTCTGGGAATATGAGCCAGATGGGAACGGTGTGGATACTTTACTAATTAGTTTCATTCATTTTTTACATTTATTTATTTATTTAGAAAGAGGAGAGAGAGCTCAGTAGCATGCCTGTACTTGCAGGAGTCAGTTTTCTCCGTCCACCATGTGTGTCCTGGGGATTGAACTCAGGTTGTCAGAATTGGTGGCAAGCCCCTCTCTCTACCTGCTGAGCCCCCTCGCCTGCCCAGAGGGTACTTTTGTGAGTCCCTCTGTGGACAGGAAGCTGGCTAAACAGAGGCACGTTGTGAGTCTGCACACTTTGATGACAAGTGTTTTAGCCAATCCACTCTTTGTGTGTTCGTTCAGCACAGCCCGAGAACCCTTTGGCACAGCAGTGAAGGCTTGGTCTTTGCAGGGCATCTTTCTTCTCTGTTTCCATTTCTGTATCTCTTGGGAGTGATTTTCTCTCCATCCCCCCTGAGGGCCCCCAGGGACCTGCTCTAGTTGGCAAACACACACACACACTCTATTCTCTCTGACATTCCACTTTCCTTCCAAGCACCGCCCCCCACCATTACATACTGCCCTTATGGTGAAAAACATGCACCTAACATTGACAAACAGGCTCCCACCAAATGGATTCAAAAAGGATTCAAAAACAATAACTAACCCCATAATGCAATCTCCGTCCTCCAGCTATCCATTATGTCTATATGCCTAAGATGAAAGAAAAACCCAGGCGCTGCTGAGTTTCAGGCAGAGGTCCCCAGCTGGTCCCATTCTACCTCAGAGTCCCCCCCCCCACTGACATCCCTAATGAAAATGCTGTTCAGAAGCTGGGGGTGGGGTGGGGTGGATAAAGGAGGACTCTGGCATTCCCCAACCCACCATGACCACATCTCGATGCACTCAGGTCTACAAGGCAGAGAGCTGCCCGGCCAGCTCTGTGTGGAAAGAGATCTGTCAGACATGGAGAGATGTGGGCAGGGTTGCTGTGGTCATGGACAGGTGTATCAATTCCTAAAGTCAAACCAGCCATCCTTCTGGGTTAAGCAGTGACATGTTACAGATGCAGGCAAACTCTGCTGGCAGTTCCCACATTTTCTTGGGTATACATGTTCCCCCGGGAGCTTGTTAAAGAGCAGAGCACTGCCGTAAGCCTGCCCTGGTCAGGCAAGTCAGGGCAGCCGGGCAGCCAGGGTTTAATAGGGTCCCTGGGGGCTGAGATGCAGACTTTCTAGGTCTGCATTTCGAGAACTGCTTTGCTCACATATCGGGTTAATCCTACCCCTGGCCTGCGATTTATCCCTTCCCATGAGAAGAATGTAAATGTGGGTTAGAAAGCTTCTGAGAAAGCAGGATGCAGGGTTGAACTTTAAAGCAACATTCTCTGTGGAAACAGACTGAGCCAATCTATACCCCGGGAGGGCAGAGTCCAAGTCCTCATCCTTCCTAATGCTGCCACCCTTTAACACAGCTCCTCGTGCTGTGCTGACCACAACCATAAAATTACTTTTGTTGCTACTTCATAACTGTAATTTTGCTCCTGTTAGGAATCTTTATATAGATATCTGATACGCAGGATACCCAATATGGGAACCCTGTCAAAGGGTCATTTTACCCACATAAGGGTCACAACCCACACATTAAGAACCACTGGTCTAAGTTCTCTTGGCTTCTGGGCCTGCCTTGTCACCCCTAACTCCAGGCCACTTTGTGGTGATATATTATAATTATTATTTAAAGATTTTATTTATTTATTTATTATGTATACAACATTCTGCCTCCACGTATGCCTGCAGGCCAGAAGAGGGCATCATTATAGATGGTTGTGAGCCACCATGTGGCTGCTGGGAATTGAACTCAGGACCTCTGGAACCCGAGCCATCTCTCCAGCCACCCCCCCCCCCGTGGTGATATGTTATTTATGATTTATTAAAGCTTGCCTGGGGATTCAGAAAGCAAAGTCAGCCACAAGCCATAGAAGCCAAGAGCGTGCACGCACGTGCGTGCGCGCGCTCACACACCTTTAATCCCAGCTCAGGTGTGATTAAATAGGAGGTGGTGGTACACACCTTTAATCCTAGGGCTCAGGGTTAAGAGGTAGACTGATCTCTTCGAGTTCAAGGCCACCCAGATCTACACAAGATTGATCCAGTACCTGGGATCACATGCTTTTAATCCCAGCACTAGAGGAGTATAAAAAATAGGAGCAGGGACTTCAGTAGTCAGTATCAGGCATTCATTCTCCAGCCACATTGAGAATAGGAACGCCCCATCCCTGTTAGAAGTTAAAGCTCTCTGGTAGCTTGGCTGCTTTGCTTCCCTGATCTTCAGCTTGAATCCCAATATCTGTTTCTGGGTCTTTTATTTTTCGTGTTATACCACTTCTCTAACCTCGGGTTTCCTATCTGTTAAATAGAAGGTTGTGAGTTAAATTGAATTCTCACTAGTGTTGGAACATAGGCTAGCCCTGTGGCTTCAGTGAATGAGGGAACGTTCCTGGGCCTGTTTTACAGGTTGGGGCTTTAAAGGCAATACGTAGCTCCTAGGGCTAATGAAGGAATTAATAGAAATCAGAGTTTGGAGAGGTAGAGAGATGATGGTTTAGCGGTTGAGAGCACTGGCTGCTCTTCCAGAGGAGAGGGATTGGGTTTTGGGGGCGGGGTTCAATATGCAGCACCTATATAGCTGTTCACAGCCGTCTACAAGTCCTGTTCCAGGAGATCTATCGCCCTCTTTTTGGCATGCACCTGCACTAAGGATTCACGTAGTGTCCAGACATACAGCAGACAAAACACCCACGCACATAAATAAATAGAAATCAGGGTTTGTTACATAAAATGGTTCCGTATTATGGATGTAATTCTCGCAAAACGATCCGAGGACCTTTCGGCTCTTCTGGAATTGAGTCCGTGCCTCTGCAGGTAGGACCCTGGAGCAGCACCACTGCCCGCCCCCTCAGCTAGCTGCGTGACACAGGCAAGTCCTCGTTAGGCAGAAAGAAGACAGCCAGGAATCCACACGCATTCTGAGGATTTAGTGAGTCAACCTACAGACACCGTGCCCAGGCACCTAGCACTCGGCTGCTGCTTCCAAAGGTCTGCTCCGGTGACGAAATCGTGGTTCCCTGAATTCTTCAGGGAGGTCAAGCCCCATAGCACTTGGGTTCCGGGTGGGGGTGGAGCGTCTCGGGAGCATCCCAGACCTCTCCCCTGTCCCCGCCCCCAAGCCTGCGGATTCGCTTTCGGTTGGGCAAGCTGAGACTCCCGGGACGCCGACTCTCGACTAGCAGCAGATGCCGCTGCCCTCCCTGGGTCCCCAGCTGTGCTTTGCAGCTGGCTCTCACTTGAAACTGCTGAAGAGAAATGCCGGGGAGTGGGAAACGCGGCGATCCTGCGAAGAGGCCACCGAAATCTCTTTATCGCTCCCACCTGAAGCCCAAAGGCGGCACCGCTTGGCCTGCTGAGATCCCTGTCGCTCAGGCGTGTCTCCGCCCCTAAGCCCCGCCCCCGAGGCTGCTCCGCCCCCCCAGCAGGGTGAGGCCCCGATTGGACAGCTCCCGGGGTGGGCGTGGTCGGTGGCGGCGCTGGTTCCGCGGCAGCATCGCGGTGGTTCCTGAGGCCAGGGGATCCTGGGGGACCTGCGAAGGGTCCCCGGCCGGTGGCTGCTGTCACCAGAGCAAAGTTTCGAACCCGAGGCCGAATCCGGAGCCCGCAGTCGTAGAGGAGCGCGGAGAGGGCGGGATTTCCGCCGGGAGGGATCCGGCCGCTCAGGGGGTGGGGCTTCCCGGCCCGGGCTGCGTTTCCCGCGTGCGGGGCGGGGTGCCGTGGGTCCCTGCTGACACCCTCCGCGCCCTCCCCCAGGCGGCCAAGGATGACCACGCTCATGCACCAAGACCTCAACTTTGGCCAAGGTAGGGATCGGGGCCTGCAGCGCGGCGGGGTGGGGGTGGTCCTGGCTGGAGTCCCCATCAACCGCGGCTCCTCCGCAGTGGTGGCCGACGTGCTCTCCGAGTTCCTGGAGGTGGCCGTGCACCTGATCCTCTATGTGCGCGAGGTCTACCCCGTGGGCATCTTCCAGAAGCGCAAGAAGTACAACGTGCCGGTTCAGGTGAGCCCCGAGGGCCGGCTGGATTTAAAACCTTTATTCTACCTACAAGCTCCCTCACTCCCTAACCGAGGCTGATAGCGGACAGCCTCCTGCCTCTCACCGCCCGGCTTTCCCCGCCCTGACCTCAGAAGAAATCCTGGTGTTAGGGACCCTGGATAAAAGCCATTCCAAGCTTGCGTTTTAAAGGGGTTCCAAGCTGGGAACTCGGGCTTGGGCAGAGTAATCCCACAGTGCCCAGCATTTTCGTTCTCTCCTCATTCTCCTTAAACTTAAATTGAAACAGTTATTATTATTTGAGATGGGGCCTCATGTGTAGGCATGGATGGTGTGGATTTCCCACTATGTGGACCAGGCTGGCCTTGAGTTCACGGAAATCCTCCTGCCTCTGCCTCCCCAGTGCTGTGAACAAAGGCGTGAGCCACCATACCTAGTGTTTTATTTTTTTATTTTTTTAGGGGGTCGGCGGTTTCGAGACAGGGTTTCTCTGTGGCTTTGGAGGCTGTCCTGGAACTAGCTCTTGTAGACCAGGCTGGTCTCAACCTCGCGGAGACCCCCCTGCCTCTGCCTCCCTAGTGCTGGGATTAAAGGCGTGTGCCACCAACGCCCTGCCTAGCTTTTTATTTTTTAAGATTTATATTAATTTTGTGTGTATGTGTGTGTGTCTGTGTGTTTGTATGTAAGGGTGCCTACTGAGACTAGAAGAGGGCATGAGAGCCCTTGGCGTTTATGAGATGCCTAAGGTGTATACTGGGGATCTGACTCTGGATGAGTGGCAAGTACTCTTAACTGCTGAGCTATCTCTCCAAGCCCCCCCACCCCCACCCTTTAAATCCAGACCTCCCTAGCCTGTGCTCAGAGTTGTTAGGAACCTGGGGCTGGCCTTGAACTCTTGATCCTCCTGCATCCACCTCCTTGAGTCCTAGGATTACCAGAGAATATTACCCAAGTTTCTCTTTTTTGTTTTGCTTTGTTTTCCAAGACCGGTTTTCTCTTGTGGCCCTGGCTGTCCTGGAATTCTCTATGTAGAGCAGGCTGGCCTTGAACTCAGAGATCTGCCTGCCTCCCAAATGCTGGGATTAAAGATGTGTGCCACCCTGCTTGGTTCCTGGGTTTAACTTTAAAAGGTGAAACAGTTGACATGCTGTCTCCCTCCCAAGTCCCTCCAAGTATGTTTCCCATTGTAGTCAGTCAGTCAACTTGAGAATCATGACCTCTAAAGACTAGGAGATGGTGGAAGAAGAAAACAGCTACCAAGCACCTCTGCTCTCTAGCACTTTCTTATTTAATCTTCACCTTTATTAGATCTCCCCAGATGACATAATTAAGTTCAGAGATGTCATTTGTCTGTGGTCATACAGCCCCCCCCCAATATGGTTTCTCTGTTAGCCCTTGCTCCAGCTGGCCTAGACTCAGAGATCTGCCTCCTCTGCCTCCCCAGAGCTGGTATTAAAGGTGTATACCACCATGCCTGGCCCTTTACAGCTTTTGTTTTGTTTTTTAAGACAGGGTTTCTCTGGGTAGCCTTGGCTGTCCTTGAACTCACCTGTCTCTGCTTCCCAAAGGCTGGGATTAAAGGTGTGTAGCATTGCAGCCTGGCTCTACCCAGCTTCTTAATATTACTGTCAAATGCTAGTGCTGAGTATCTCTCCAGGGATAAATTCATCCACGTTTCTTTTTGTTGAGTGTGTGTGTGTGTGTGTGTGTGTGTGTGTTTCTTCCCAGACAGGGTTTCTCTGTGTAGCTTTGGAGCCTGCCCTGGAACTCCCTCTGTAAACCAGGCTGGTCTCAAACTCACAGAGATGGGCCTGCCTCTGCCTCCCGAATGCTGGATTAAAGGTGTGCGCCACCACGGCCTGGCTAATCCACAGTTCTTAGCACCATGATGATGAGTTGGGTCTCTCAGGCAGGGAGACCTGGGGAATGGCTGTTGTTTATCCAAAACCGAGTAGGTGTACATTTGTGTGGGGGTTGTTGGTGTTTCTCTCATTCGTGCCATGGGATTGTGTGCAGATGTCCTGTCACCCAGAGCTGAACCAGTACATTCAGGACACGCTTCACTGCGTCAAACCACTCCTGGAGAAGGTGAGAGGGGCCCCTAACAGACACTCCACACCCAACCTCTTCCTCCTTGCTTCTGGGCTGCCTCTATGGGGAGTGTTCATATCCTTTACCATAGCCTGTCCCATCCCTGCATCCCTGGTTCCCATTCTCTCTGGACTGGGCCTCCTTGGGATTTTTTTTTTTTTTTTTTTCTTCTGTCTTGCCCTGGTCTGAGACTTATAGAGGAACCTCACTGGGAGCCAGGCATCTCCTACTGGCCTATACCATTCATGTCTTGAGATCCAGCTTGCACTTCTCTCTTGCTGGGCTCCCAGGTAGCCTTAGCCAGTGCCCTGCCCCACCTCTCCCCGGGCCCTGTGCATAGCTCTGGAACGGGTTCCTGTGCTTACAGAACGATGTGGAGAAGGTAATGGTGGTGATTTTGGATAAGGAGCACCGTCCAGTGGAGAAGTTTGTCTTTGAGATCACTCAGCCGCCCTTGCTGTCCATCAGGTGAGCTGTCACCCACCCTAGGCTGGCTGCTGTAACCTCTCACACAGATCCCTCACTCCCGGCCTCGAGTTACCTTAGTAATAACCCTGAAATGGCAATACACACTGTTAGCATCAGAGACACACTTGCCACAAATCTTTGTGCAGAGGTGACAGGGTCACCTGTGTCACCCTGTGTCACCCCTGGAACATCCCAGGAAGTGGTGAATGTTAGTCCCTAGCATTATTGTGAAGACGGAGAAACAAAGGTCCCGAGAAGTGACCCGAGTGGTGTCATCCAACGATTGTAAAGCTCAGGACTCTGACCAAGTTGACTGGTTACCATGGTATCTACATTAGCTACTCAGCTACTTGCTCTCTGTGCCTGAGGTAAGGGCTGTGGAATCAGGAGCCAGCCTGTCTCCTGGCTAGGCAGCCTCAAACAAGCCCTTTCTACTCCTGTCTAGGGGTCCTAGAAGTATGCAGGGGTTTAACTATAGCCTGTGTGTCTTCTTACTAGCTGAATATTAGAACCATCTAAAGGGACCCCTGCACCCTGCCTCCATTCGGTCTTGTGGGTGGGATTGGGCTGGCTCTCCCAGGCACCAAAGGTGGTTGGCCCAGACTGTTATGTGTGGCGGGGTGTGTGTGTGTGTGTGTGTGTGTGTCTGTGTGTGTGTGTCTGTGTGTCTTTGTCTGTGTGTCTGTGTGTCTGTGTGTGTGTGTGTGTGGCTGTGTGTATGTCTGTGTGTGAGTCTGTGTGTGTGTGTGGTGTGTGTGTGTGTGTGTGTGTGTGTCTGTGTGTGTGTGTGTGTGTGTGTGTGTGTGTGTCTGGGGGGTGTGTGTGTGTGTGTGTGTGTGTGTGTGTGTCTGGGGGGTGTGTGTGTGTGTGTGTGTGTGTGTGTGTGTCTGGTGTGTGTGTGTGTGTCTGTGTGTGTGTGTATGTGTCTGGTGTGTGTGTGTGTGTCTGTGTGTCTGGTGTGTGTGTGTGTGTGTCTGTGTGTCTGTCTGTGTGTGTGTGTGTCTGTGTGTGAGTGTGTCTGTGGGTGTGTGTGTGTGTCTGTGTGTCTGTGTGTGTGTGTGTGTGTGTGTGTGTGTGGCGGAGGAGCACAGTAGAATGAAGACCTCCTTTCCTTCCCATTCTCAGTTCCGACTCCCTGCTGTCTCACGTGGAGCAGCTGCTGCGAGCCTTCATCCTCAAGATTAGTGTGTGTGATGCTGTCCTGGATCACAACCCTCCAGGTGTGATGCCCACTCCCCTGCTGTTCCCTTGATTACCTTGGCATGCTATCTTCTTCCTAGTTAGCTGCCCTGAGCCAGCCACTCTCTCCCTGCCCTTCAACCCCTGAGAGTTCATCTCTCCAGAACTGACTACTACATTTCAGGCACCCATCGACACTCTTTGGCATTGGCTACACTTTACATCTTATGGGTGGTGCTGCCCAGCCAGGGAGGGAGGAGGGAAGAAGTTTGGTCCCTTGGGATGCTGAGGCTACTTTCGTTTGACCTTGACCAAGCATTCCCTCTGCAGGCTGCACATTCACAGTCCTTGTGCACACAAGAGAAGCTGCCACCCGAAACATGGAGAAGATACAGGTCATCAAGGTGTGTGTGTGTGTGTGTGTGTGTGTGTGTGTGTGTACAATTTCAGGGTGCTAACTGTGGCTGGCACTGTTGTTTATGGCAGTGCCTGGCAGCAAGCGGGCTCCCCTGTGTTAGCCACCTCACCACATCTGTGTGTACCCAAGGATGAGAAGAGCCACAGTGAAGCCAGGTGTTGAGCAGCCAGCTCACCCTGGCTCTTCTGAACAGAGTTCTCCAGAGAGGGGCCCTTACCCTTCAGTTTCAGAACTATTTTGGAGCCACACTGGGAATATAAATTGCTGGGGTTCCCAGCGCTTGCCCCCTTCTGTGTAGTGTGGGTTCTGGAGGGGAGTGTTAGCAGAATGAGGGCAGACTGAGGTGTAGCCCCTTCTGACCCTCATCTGATCCTATTCCTAGGACTTCCCATGGATCTTGGCAGACGAACAGGATGTCCACATGCATGATCCCCGGCTGATACCCCTAAAAACCATGACGTCGGATATTTTAAAGGTGAGCTTTTGGGGGTCAGGATGGAGGAAGCCTCATTTAGGAGACTCAGGGCCCAGAGCTAATTCCAGGCTAGAGAGTATACTGCCCAAGGTCTGTGTGTGTGGTGGGGGATTCTTCAGCTTCTACCCCTTCCTCCGAGTCTTCAGCACGCACCTCACAGTTTGACCAAAGCTACTTTTCTCCTAGATGCAGCTCTATGTGGAAGAGCGAGCTCATAAACACAGCTGAGGGTGCGCCTGCCACTCGGTGCCCAGCTGTCTGGGGCCCCAGCCCAGGGCGGTGCTGCAGGGCTCCCTGCCTCCAAGTGCTCTTATCGCCTTGACATGTGGCCGCCCCTCTGGTTGGGCTTCTCAGTCCTGCTTGACTTCGTGAGGCAGCCTTCCCAGGAGACTAGGGAACGATGCCAGGACAGACACCATTTCTCAGCAGCCTCCTGGGGCTTAGCCGGCTAACACTGTCCATCTGAATATACTGTGCTGTGAGTTATTGTTAATAAAGGGCCCCCAAAGGGCTGACTGCATTGTTATTTAACCAAAAATGGGAAAAGCAAGTGCAGCAAAACTGCTCTGGGGAGGGGCTGTTTTTCCACCAAGAGTCCAGCAACCCCACCTGTAAACCCCAAACCAGGGTTTGGATTTACTGAAAACATTTATTACAACAAAATGTCAAAGCTGTGTGGCTGTAAAATCACCACTGAGTTGATGGGTTTGCTGGAGGCTGCAGGGCAGGTGCTCATGGGACTGGGGACCTGACTGCCCACTAAGCTCTTGCCAGGCTTTGATTTGCAAAGCGGACCCCCGCAAAGGAGGAGGCAGATGGCTGTCAGAAAAAGTCCAAGAGGCTTTCTGGATCCAAAGCTGGATGTTTTCCTTCTATTACTACAGTGTCTTCCGGCAGAGGTCTGGCAGGGGCGGGGTTCTTGGCTGGTCTGTGGCTGATAATGATGCTGCTGTTGGTGACACGGGGGCCATACCAGCCTTTCCAGAACTGGGTGTCCTGGCCCCCATGCTGGAAAAAGATATGGCGGACGCCTGGAGGGTAATCAGAGAAGGTGTGGGAGACCTGGGGAGGAGAGAGGGGGTAACCACTGAGAGACATGGGGAGGAGAGAGGGGGTAAACACAAGATTTGCCATGGCCAGGAGAAAAGGCCAATGCTGCAGAACAATTGTTCCTTAACAGCCAGGCCCTGGGAAAAGTGAGTGGCAGAGCAAGCAGGCAGGTTCTTACCTCCTTCCATGTGGCATCATTCCACTGTTCGATGGTCACAGGTGGAGGATCAAAGGAGGCCAAGACAATGTAGTTGGCTGAGGTCAGGTGTACCCGGAGGTGATAGGTGCAGCCACAGTCCGCTCTGGGGGCGAACCTAGGGAGGACAGAGGAGAGGCTGGGCACCCCTGCCTCTGAAGGCTGGCTCTGGGGACAGTTGCCATCTGGAAGCACCCCTCCATCCATGACTGCTAGCTGGCTCTATATTCCTTATGTCCCTGTGTTTGGAGAAGCATCTGTCTACATATTGCCTCAGTTTTCCATTCCAAGAAAAGGGTGTGAGCTTAAAACCAAAATGACTTTTTTCTATGAAGATGCTGTCTGTCACCATATGGTACAGTAGATGGGAACCTCTGCAATGCGCTGGCTTACAGCTTGCTCCACTATCCTCCAGGAATTGGCCCCCAGAGTCTTACACCAGCACTTGTAGGCACAGGGGGAACTTGTAAAAGGGCCATCCAGAGGGATTGAGTTGGTGCTTAGCAGTAGAGAGTAGTTAGACAGCTGCTCATCTGAGGCCCCACTGGCCACCTACAAACGGCTCAAGTTTTGTGTGACTGTCACAGTGGCTTGGCAGGAGGGAAGACATAGAGGGTGGGGACACAGGTCACTCACCAGTCCTTAACCACAATCTCAGGCCGGAAGGTGTCCATCAGCTCCTCCCAATAGCCCTCAGCTTTAAGGTCTATCATCTGGGACTTGAGGCACATGCTGGGGACAGAGGACAAGACTTGCATTTTCAGTGTGATAAACAGGGCCCCCTCCTTGCCAGGTAGATGGCTCAAGGGACCCAGGAGACCCTCCCCCTCCAGGATAGACCCTGGCTGGAGTCTGTCTGAGGGAAATGGCGTATTAGATCTGCTTTTCCCTGGGTAGTATTTGATCCCATGGGACACTGGAGTGTGTCTGACTTCTGCTCCTGACTTTACAGTTTATACACATGGCAAATTAAAGTTGTACAAGAGAGTTGTGGTCCCAGGTAAGGATTATGTTGTGGGTTGCTAAATAGGAATTTTCAGTTTTTTTTTTTTTTTTTTTTTTTTTTTTTGGTTTTCGAGACAGGGTTTCTCTGTGTAGCTTTGGAGCCTGTCCTGGCACTCGCTCTGGAGACCAGGCTGGCCTCGAACTCATAGAGATCCACCTGCCTCTGCCTCCCAAGTGCTGGGATTAAAGGCGTGGGACACCAACGCCTGGTGGGCCTCCTTCTTGAGCTTCTAGAGGCCCCCACCTACCCTGGCAGTCAGCCAAGTCCCTCTGAGTCTGCCCTCAGCATGACCTCCTCCAGGCTCTTCCACACCATTGCTTACCCGAAAGAGGTGACAAAATACTTCTTGACCCTGGAGTCAGGAAAGTTCTTGCCATGCTCCCCAGGGAGACTCTCCACCTTCCACTCATCCCCCTCGTTGGAGTCTATCTGCCATGAGTTCATGTCCTCTGGGAAAATGGAGCACAGGTGAGATCCCCATCAAACTCTGCCAGCAGCTGCAGCCCTGAGGTATACACTTGAAACTTTGAGGCCCTTTCCAGTCGTGGGAGACTTTAAGGGGTTATGGACACCAAAGGATTAATTAATTAGCTTGCTTCTCCTGGAGTGTACTTGGCAGCCAAGGTCAGCACGCCACTACCAGTCCAAGAGCAAGACTGGTGTCCCCCTTATCACCTCAGACTTCAGTCTCACTCCTTCCTATTCTGCCCCAAATAGGACCAAAAGTTCTGAACTAAATCTCATCTCTCATAATGCCACAGGGCCCCGACAACCACATTTCAATCCTGAGAGAAAGATCACCAAGGGCCTGTGATGGAGGGGATCTTAGGGCTGATGGGAGTTCCTCCCAATCTGGTTGCTCCCCTGGCCACTGGCTTTCCTAGGGTTAGGAGGAGGCGCCCTGGTTAACTATGACCCTGATCCTAGGGGCCAAAGGAACCCACTGTTCTGATACCATCAGATGCCCTTTTCCTGGCCAGTGCCAAGACGGCACATTGGTATCCCCTGGGCTGGGAGCTGCAGGAGTCCTGTGACAGTGAGGGGCCTCCGGGAATGGGGTCAGATCCAGGGATTTCCCCCCAAGTGTCACGTTATGAGCCCAGAACCTTCACGGGTGAGCTCTGACGTTCTACTCACCATGCCCCAGGAGCCCACGTCATTCCCAAGTCTTCTAGGGGGCTGCCCAATATAGAGCCAAAGGAGTAAGAGAATTTGGGGCTGGGCTGGCGTGAGCTAAAGCCATGGGAAATTTGAGCAAGGCTAGACAATGGGGGCGAGCTAAAAGACAAAGCTGCAAAATGGCTAGGGGAGGTGTCCTGGCAGCCTGGCCGGGCATCTTCTGAGTGGAATCTGGGGCAAGTAGGCAGATCGAGTGTCTGAGGCCTGTGTGTTCAGACTGGCCTGAGCCTTGGTCATCCTCAGAGGATGACCCTCCTGAATGCTAAGCCAACTGACACTTCAGCCAAAGCATTCTGCAATGTAGACAGCCACTCCCACTGTTTGTCTGACCTAGCCAGGACAGGGAAAAAATGTCAGACATTTGAAGTATACAAACAAGGCCTCTTTCTTTCCTTTTTTTTTTTTTTTTTTTTTTCTCTGGAAAAGAGCTTCA